GCAAACGGCGGGGGAGGGGGCATTTTGCACTTTCGCTGCTTCACTAGTTCCGGCTTTACAAGTGCTACTCTGGTGAAACCTGTGAACTCTTTTGAAGCTGCACAAGCTCGCCGAGCCAGCACGGTAGAGCCTGTAAACTCACGGCTCTCTAGATGGGCCGACACATCGATGAGGAATAGCAAAAGTGCAAAATGTCCCCCGTCGCCGAACTGTCCTCTACCTAGTGTTATGGTCTACTTTCAGGTAGCGGAAGGCATGACAGGGGTAAAGAGAAGGAAAAGGAGAAAGAGAAGGAAAAGGAGAAGGAGAGAGAAAAAGAGAAAGAAACCGTTCGCGGTACTCCGACGGTGAGCACACGTATATTGCCACATCTTGGGGACTCACCCGAAGACCGCTGCCTCAATTGTCAAGTTTCTTTCAAAGAGGTGAGTTTGTGCATTACCACTTATTGCGATAAAATTCGATTGATTACTTTTCCGATTATTGAGTGCGGACAGTGTACGAGAGAAGTACGCGCGTAGTGCCTTTTACTCTGACACGACTTCGTTTTTATATCGTTTATATATTGAACCAGTATAAGCCGCCGCCCATCCTTCTGATACACCCCGGCTTTGCCGCGCGTAGTACTAGTATGTTTGAATACTCAAGTACAGTCCTCATCATTACGTACTGTCGGGGCGGTTCAGTGCGGCTGCGTTTGGCGCGGTGCCAAACCCGCTCTCCACCAGTATTTAAAGCGAGCAAATGATATGACTGTATTATATCCTCCGTATTACTCGTTTTCTACCACTTTTTGTCGCATACGCGTTTCAACAAAAAGGCTGAGAACGGCTTCAACAGTGTGCACACTCATACTGGCTGACACGCCCCACCGGTCCGCAATGATGAGGACTGTAATATCGGCCTTCACTCCCTTCGTTTGATCTGTGCGCATGGTCAACACTCTTTCAAAAACATCATATTTCTGCTACTTTCAGCACCGTTAAAGGCAGTTAACACGTGGTTTTCCTACTTGGCCTAAAATGCTAGTAGGGCGCTGTATAGTGGGAAATGGCGAAAGAACGGAGTGAAACGGTCAAAATCCGGCGAAGAAAAAGCCTCCGTTCTCAGTGACTTGTAAATCGATTTTGGACGAGTTTCCCATACGCATCTTGCCAATCACCGCTAGCGAAGGTACGGCTGCATATGTGTACCCATATATGCATGCAGCATCACGGCCGCTTCATACCAATCCCTTTGCTTCATAATTTGCTCAGCAAATGAATGAATACGAGCGTCAGAAACGGTCGTCCGTTTGTGGGCGGGGCGGGCAAGGAAGGCGTTTGGGACGTAAAGTGTTGCTCAATAGGGCGTTATTCAGGGCTACCCTCCTCGGGAAAGGCTTCACGCAGCGCCTATCCGAGGTCACGGAATTCTGTTAACCCAGTTGTACAAATCCTACACCTGTATAACGATTTATCGTGCCACTGCCCTTTAAGTCCATTTAATGGTGTAAGAAGCGTAGATCAAGTGCACAGATGACAGGAAAGTCATCTGTGCACTTGATCTACGCTCCTTACCACCATTAAATGGACTGTAAATGTCCAGTGGTAAATGTTTAGTTCGAAAATCGAAAGAAAATACGCGTAGCGAAGGCACACCCGCCTGGCAAAGCCGGCCCATATCAAAGGCGACGCGCACGTGTGAGCCATTTGATACGAGCTGGTCAACTGGTATCAAATGTACCTGTGACGACCTGTGATTAAGTGTAGGACTGCCCGTGCACTAAAAATTGGAAAAAAAGGTACCTCATACTTGACGGCACTTAGTACCTCATAGAGTGACAATTTCGGCTCACTGTGGGTGAGTTCATCCTACCAAAGAGACACCCAGCTCTCGTCCAGATGTTTCTCTTCTCCCACTTTTGAGATCTATTAATTCTTTCGAGAATGAGTTAGTGAATTCGTGCGAAGCACCGCCTGTCTCAAGCACGCCCGGCCCATTTCGGGTGTGTTCTCCCAATCAGCCTGTCCACGCTTTGCCAGTCTTAGCCCACTTTTCGCTATCTCTGGGTTGCACTGGGACCGAATTATAAATTTTTGTCAGCGACACCGTTGACTTTTCGACGCATGACCCCACCCCACTCCCCCACCCGGAGCGGGTTAGTAAAGATCGCGTGTGCTCTTTACATCTTGTCCCATACCCTGTGCATTCCAACCTTGACCCAGCCTCTCCTAGTTGCTCTCAGGTGGAACCGAATTTCCAGACAAGCAAACGTAGGAAATCATATTTAACTGAGGTATTGTAGCACTTGTAATTACTAATCATTACTATCACAGAAGGAGCGCTCTGCCACAACACCTCAATACTGCTCAACGAAATGTCGTCGGGCATATCAAGCAAGGCTAGCTAAAGAAAAGAGTTGTAGAAAATTTTGTCAGTTTTTATGCGTTTTTTGTTTTTTCTCTGTCAAACAACCGTGGTGAACGTTCTCCTTTTTTCAGCAGAAAATATGAAGCGGATATCGGGCGGTTCCGAAGGCACGACATCATCATCATCTTCGAGTGTTTATGATAGTAAGTCACATAGTGTTACTATCCTTGGCAAAACTTCCCTCTTTCAAAAAAAGTATTACAATTTATTCTCCAGTGAAAATGAAAATGGACGAAGAGCATACGTACCCGTTGTCAAAATCGAAGAGATTTGAGGAGCCGTCACCATCGAAAAAAGTTGTGAAAGAGGTGTGAATTCTCAAGCATTTATGCCTAGCACTCTGACTTCAGCTTTATTCTATCAAATATTGTATATTTGAAAAATGATTGTCTTTAACTACAGTTCCCAACACCAATACCACGTTCAACAATGAATTCCCCTACAATCCTTGTTGAACAGACGCCAGTAGTGGAACCAACTGTATGTGTGACAACACCGGTCGCCATGTCATGTGGACCTCTTAATGTTCCAGGCGTAGACTATGATGTGGATCCGAAGCTTTGGACGGTATGCTTTTACAATTTTGTTTGTCGCATTGATACGCTTTTCATTAGAAATCATATAGATCAGGCAAATTATCTTGTGCTAGAATTTGATGACCCCGTGGAAATTTATCGGTTGGGAACTGCATCCAAGATTGCCGACTGGGCGGAGCTAGGAAACCATTTCATCGACGCGCCCCTACTCCTATGAAAAAAGGGAAGGAAAAAGACTGCATCGCGTCAATGATGTCGTTTCCTGACGCCGCTCAGGCGGCAATTTTGGGCAGTTCCTATGACATTCCTGAACCTACAAGCGGGAAATCGAATCTCAAATATTAGAGTAGGAAATCGAGATATAAAAAGCTGTGCATATGGAACAATTGCACGAATGCTCTTTGGAACACTGCGCTGTGTTGTTTCCTGATGACTATTGCTGTTTAACGCCACAGTTCGCGCTACGAAACTTATAACAGGAATGCTGAGTTATGGGCAAGTTTTGACCCGGGCAGGACGTGAACCTGCACTTCCGCCATCCGGGCAAGTGCGCTACTTGTTGCGCCGCCAAGGCGCTCTTACCATCTCAGCTCGACAGCTTGTATGCTGTAGCCTTAGAGCGCTCACAAAAGGCAGAAGTCTTTTATAAGTCTGAGCCGTCGAGCTGAGAGTGTAAGAGCGGTCTTGGTGGCGTAGCGCACTCGACCGGAAAGTGTGAGGTGCGGGTTTAAGTCCCGCAGCCAAGACCTACAAATCACCCAGCATTCTTGTGATTACTCACTGTATTCTTGGTTGCTTTCCAAGCAATCTGTTGAGAAAGAAGGCACAGAGAAACGGAAGCCTAACAACATTTACCAGGGAAGTCCGCCAACCTTACCATGGAACTTTGAATGGAGACCTGGGTAGATCGATAGAGTCTATAAGGTTATTTACAAATATAGATAGCAAAACTGCAACCTGCATTTCACAAGCAACTTATGAGCAGGTAAAGTTTGTAATGGTGCAGTAGGGTGGAGGCTTGGTGGTGAGCTGTGAAGCATAAGCGAGGAATCGCATACGTCGAATCGAGTCGTGGTGGTTCAGTGGTAAGGTTCGACGTTCGACGACTCGATTCGACGTATGCGATTCCTCGCTTATGCTTCACAGCTCACCACCAAGCCTCCACCCTACTGCACCATTACAAACTTTACCTGCTCATAAGTTGCTTGTGAAATGCAGGTTGCAGTTTTGCTATCTATATTTGTAAATAACCTTATAGACTCTATCGATCTACCCAGGTCTCCATTCAAAGTTCCATGGTAAGTTGGCGGACTCCCTGGTTAGTTTCCTGTGGACAAATGCTTGGCATTATGGGTTTTCTCCCTTATTTCCAAGGCTTCACGATCTCTTTCCACTCACTCATTTGTTTGTAACGGGCGAGCATGTGCTTCTTTAGCTTTTATGGTCCAATCACCAGTATTATCTTTACGTTTTCAGCCTGATGTAGCAGCCCGCTGGGCCCAAGGTGTGACGGGTTCTGAGACGTGTGCGGCGACGTTCTTGCGAGAAGATGTCGATGGAGATGCAATGCTTATGATGGGTTTCGACGACCTACGCAGTCACCTCTCATTCACATTTGGTCCCGCCAAAAAGCTCCAACTTGCCATTGAGCAATTGAAAGTTTTCCGTGATCAGCGGTATGGAACGCCATAGACTTGTACTGTAGTGTAAAATGGATGATTCATTGTAAATTAAACGATCTCTTGGGCTTCTCTCAAGGCTAAACTCACATAATAAGTCTTGCAATTCCCGTTTTACTAATGGATGATGCAAGCATAGCTGCATTTGTTGAAAATAATTTATATGAATTTCAGTAGTTCATAATTTGTTATAAGTTTATAAGTTTAAAGGTATATGCATGATGATTCATAGACCACTTTGCTATACGTTTTCAGACATTTCATAAGTTTTTTGGCTAAGAATTACATCAACGATTTCGCATATCTAATTTATTCGATAAATCATACCTATCAGCCATAATATTTATTACATGTCCATCTTCTCCATCTCCATATTTAAAATACTTATACATACAGAAACAATGATTAACAGGTAATGAATGAGAAAAAAAACTTCGACAACGTATGCAGAGTAAACAGCTACCCGTGGTATTTTATTGTTACACTTGATTCTCGCTAATCCAATCGCTATCAATGGTAGCCCGATAAGGTAAGAGAAATGATGACGTTGTCAATTTGTTTGTAGGTAAATGCTGGTTGGCCAGTCGCAGATTAGAATACTAAAGATTTTCAGTCTAAGTACCCACCAGGTCCAGCATTACTTAACCTTTCAGATCGAACGTGGTGTGGCTGTAAAAGTATGGGACGATCGTGACAATACTGGCACCAGATTGGGGCATACACAGGAGTGACCAATAGAAGAAAAGACGCTTCGCTCAGTCTGCGTCCATACTTTACGTCAGAGTACGGCGGCAACTAAGGAAGTATAGATATCGATCTAGCGAATGCCAGCGTATGCAAGCGTACACCAGCGTTTTCGCGGGCAATTTGAGCTTGAGCAAAACTGCCGACGAAAACGCTGTACACGTGGCACACGCTGGCGTTCGCGGCTAATGCCCTTAGGCTTTAGCAGAGCGCAGATAATCGTAGTGTCATCCATTAGCGCCAGCGGCAAGAGTGAATGTCATATTCGTAATCAGGATGTTAAACTACCCCTATATACAAGTTTTTAGCGGATTTGGTGACTTAGGCAATTTAAAAATGAGCTCGGTGCCGAAATTGCTGGAGTCCAAACGGCATTAGCCGGCGTTCGCTAGATTGATATCCATACTTTCCTAGTCGCTGGCATGCTGCGTACGCTAAAAGACCCCGTGGTGTAATGTTCCTAAGATGTTTATCCAAGGAGCAAGCCCTCCAGTCCTGCCCTCGCGACAAAGTGAAGCTATCCGTCAAAGCCGTCGAGCTTAATGCCCACAGTAATGCGTCAGCGTGATGCCGTCTGATTTCTTTGGTTGGCCGCCGTTGTCCGGGTTCCCAGAGTGTCGCTAAAATGGTGAAATAAATCCATTGCCCAGCTTTTCATGCAACGCCGATGTGGTCCATGATTTATTTTCTATGACTCAACCCTGACAATCAAGAGGCCGAGGGCAGTGTCTGTAGTAATTGTCCACATTTGTCATTTCCCGTGTCATTTCGTGCAAAAGGAGTTAGGGGTACCTGTCGTGAACATGGTTTCCTTTATTGGCTACCCCCCCCCTAGTTCTACCCAATGGCGGGCCATTCTAGAGAGATCAGTGAGCTGCTGCGGAGCTGATTTGTGGCCCTTCTAAAGCATCTTGTAAAGCATCATCACTCCTTCGAATTTCTTCTAGTTGGAAAATATTTAGTGTTAAGAAACAATTGTAAGCCAAGAATTTTTGTCTAACCCTAAGCCTAGCGGGGAAGTAGCTCTGGAATGGGTGAGCCAGTACGTGCAAAACGATATCTGGAAATGGCTAATGCCGTTTGGACTCCAGAAATTTCGGCACCGAGCTCATTTTTAAATTGCCTAAGTCACCAAATCCGCTAAAAACTTGTATATAGGGGTAGTTTAACATCCTGATTACGAATATGACATTCACTCTTGTCGCTGGCGCTAATGGATGACACTACGATTATCTGCGCTCTGCTAAGGCTGAGCCCAGGAGGTAATCGTAGTGTCCTCTCTTGGCGCCAGCGACAAGAGTGAATGTCATATTCGTAATCAGGATGTTAAACTACCCCTATATACAAGTTTTTAGCGGATTTGGTGACTTAGGCAATTTAAAAATGAGCTCGGTGCCGAAATTTCTGGAGTCCAAACGGCATTAGCCTTTGGAAATGGAACCCGCAACAGTTTCTAGTTTTACAGAAGTGCAAGGAGCTCTGAGCGCGCTCCTCCCCCTACCGCAAGTTTAAGTGCGGAAATTCTATTAACAACACAGTAACAGAAACAAGAGTGGGGTAAAGTGCAGTACAACACAAATGAAACAAATCTTGTTAAACTTAAGTAGTAGGGGCAAACTTAAAGCAGTAAGCAATGAGCCGGGATATGACACAATTCTAGCAAATCTGAAGCCTAGTTACTCCTCTCTGGTGGATGACGCGCCACTGTTGACTGGTTCCGGCGGGACCATAGCCTAGGTATTCTGTAATCATTTTTACCACTATTTCCTATCACTTTTCATGCATTGCTACTTATTTAGTTATTTGAAAGGATGGTGTCAACGAAACAACTGCGTACCGTTCGCGAGGTTGGTGAACAATCAGGGATTCCATATGATGAACACATTACTGACGTCGAATTATCCGCATCCTTGATAGTTTCCCGTATTCTCGAGAGATGCTCGTTTACATCCCGTTGTGGTAACTTTGACAGCAGAATCAGCTTCGAGCGCAGAGCAGCAACATCCTGTAAATATTCTAAAGGATGTTCCAGTCGTTCTGTGCTTTGCGAGTTTGTCAGGTGGAGCTTCCATTCAAGACATTCCCACCGTCAGCCATTCGCATATCAACGTTCAGACTTCGCGACGGCAGCGCTTCGGTCGCGCGTTCGACGCGATCGATGCAGTCGAAAGCATGCGCATCGATCGCGCTGAACGCGCAACCGAAACGCTGCCGTCGCGAAGTCTGAACGCGGCCTAACCATAGCCTGACGCGCTACTCGTCTGCACCCTCTCACTCTGGTTGTTCTTTGCCGTTGAGTGCGTGCTTCGCTGCGGATCTCGATATTGACGCAAGTGGTGCACGCACCTTGAGAACAGCGCTGGCTGATAACGGAAACGGCATTCCCGTACCAGATTCCTGGAGCAACGTTCCCGTGCACCGCCTCGCACATGGTAACCAGCCTTCCCGGAGGCCAGTGTACATTTAGTCTTTAAGTGGCCTAATTTTTGACTGAATCAGTATTGAAAGCATAAAGTACAATAGTTTGGTCTTGGTCTGAAATGGTAGCAGGGATGCTACATAGTGGGGAAATGGAGAAAAAGCGAAGTGAAGCGGTCAAAAACTGCAAAGAAAAGCTGTTTTTCTGTTATGACAGGGTAAAAGCGGCCCTGGTTGGCGTAACGGATAGCGCACTCGCCCGGAAAGCGTGAGGTGCGGGTTCGACTCCCGCCTGGGGCACGACTTTTGCCCACAACTCAGCATTCTTGTGATAGCAAAGAAAAGCCTTAGTTCTACACAACTTCGAAAGCAGTTTTGGACGAGTTTCCCGCTAGCATCGTGCCAATACTGCTATGGAAGGTAGCTGCATGCAGGTACTCGTATGATTACGCAGAACCGCAGCCGCTTCATATCATTCCCTTCGCTTCATATTTTACTTCGCAAATGAAGCAATACGAGCATCAGGTACGGTCGTCCATTTGTGGGTGGGCGGGTGAGCGTCTGTTTCGGTATGTTGCAGCTTGATGGAGCGCTTTAACGGTACCCTCCTTGAGAAAGGACCAGCACCTGCTCGCTGTCCAGCTAAGCACATTGATCCTTCACGTCTTGGGAATTCATCGTGCCAACAGCCTTCACGGTGGCTTAATCCCTTTAGCTGAATGTGTTAGACAACGCTCTCCCTCAACTTGGAACCTGCTGTGATTTGAGTGAAGAAATGGCGGATTCTACACAAACATGTAAAGC